ACAAAATTGCCTCTATCTCCTTAAAAAAAAAAACAGATTAACGGCGACATTAAAGACTTATACATGAGTGTATTAAGCAGATGGTCAAAAAAGAAGTCCAATAACCTAGATATTAGAAGGAAATAGAAAGCGATATGTAAAAAGGGATTGTATTAAAAACTATGGGAGGAATTCTGTAGAAGGCTGGTTAGTTATTACTGCGTCTGATATATAGAAACTGTTGAGGGAGGTCATTTTCCTGCTTTTAAATTCTAATGATATGAACGGCTACAAAACATCACTGATAAAAAGATACGCATTTGAAAAATTTATTTTATTTTAATTCATAACGCGCCTATTTTTGTTGTCATTTGTGGAGAGGTTTAAGATTATTTAAAGAGACAAATGGAGATTTTTATATTTCATCAAAGTCAATTTTGCCATTAGGGAATTTGAACCCAGGTAGGTGGGATTGAGATTCTGAATTTTTCCACATCATAAATAATCGAACAATATCGTACTTTAGTTCAAAGAGAGCGTATCTTAGCCCTAATATCGTACTTTAATCCTAAAATAGTATATTAGCCCTAATATCCCACGTATGCCCTAATATAGACCTTTTGCCTTAATCTCGTACTTTAACCTTAATTTCGTACTTTAGTTCTAATATCCTTTAGTGGTAATATCGTATATTAGCCCTAAAATTCTACTTTAGCCCTAATATCGTACTTTAGACCTAATATTCTACTTTAGTCCAAATATCGTACTTTAGTCCTAATATCGTATATTAGACCTAATATTCTACTTTAGTCCAAATATCGTATATTAGACCTAATATTCTACTTTTGTCCTAATATCGTACTTTAGCACTAATATCGTATATTAGTCCTAATATTCTACTTTTGTCCTAATATCGTATATTAGTCCTAATATTCTACTTTTGTCCTAATATCGTACTTTAGTACTAATATCGTATATTAGTCCTAATATTCTACTTTTGTTCTAATATCGTACTTTAGTCCTAATATCGTATATTAGTCCTAATATTCTACTTTTGTTCTAATATCGTACTTTAGCCCTAATATTCTACTTTTGTCCTAATATCGTACTTTAGCCCTAATATTCTACTTTTGTCCTAATATCGTACTTTAGCCCTAATATCGTATATTAACACTAATATTTTACCTTAGCTATAATATTCTACTTTAGCCCTATATCGTACTTTGGCTCTCTCTAATATATCTTTATCCATAATAACGTAATTCAGTCCTAATATAGTATATTACCTCTCTCTTTTATCGTATATAAATCATAATATCGTATTTTGTCCTAATATCGTACTTTAGTCCTAAAACTGAATTGCCTTCATAAACACAGAGTATAGTGAATTTCTATATATTTATATAACGGGGTATATGTAAGAACTTATTTTCGCCCAGGCACATACGCTATGTTTATTTTATCCAGGAAATTTGATGTCGGCGGACCTTGTAGTTTTGTGATCCGGAAATTAAGAATTCCATCGAAATCTCGAGGGTTGTGTGGAATGGACAGCCACTGTTGCCGAGCTGTAATCCCATTAACACCGAGCCCAAAAAGAACTAATTCCTAAGTAAAAAGCACCCGCAGAGTTGCCAGGTGATTTATTTTGATTAGTGAACTTCTCAAGCCTTATGAATTATTCATTATGCAAATATGCTTTTTTCCAAAAGATGAAAAATTCCCCTGCCATGTCTCATTTAAGTTAAGGCCACCTACGTGCGCTTATGGAAATTATTGGGATGAGAAGGAAGAAAAATTTAATATTCTTCTTGCCCCAATTTTATCAGCGTCTTCTCTCTACATATTTAAATTTAGTTAAACTATTAATTACTAGTTATGTTCTCAATACCAAATCAGTTATTAGAGGTTCTTTTGAATGTGTCTATTGAAAATTGAACAACACCTTGGTTGTTTTTAATATTTAAAAATTGGGATAACGCGTCTATGGTAGTAAAAAAAATCCAACTTTCTAATAAATTCCCCTAATGGGATTTACCCGTGAAAATTAATGGATATTTAAATAGGAGTTGAAAAATTCGATTTAAGTCTGAGGTTTAGATGAACATCCTGTTGGGGGATTATTTTGGCTCAGCATCTTTCATATTCCAAGCCTCAACATATCTCAATAACCCTCTTCAATCTCTAGTTGTTTAAGACCATATTGGTGATGTGAAGAACCTTTCATTCCAGGTCTCAACATTCCTCAACAGCCCTCTTCTAACTCTAGTTGTTTTAGACCATATTGGTGATGGGCAGAACTTTTATTTTAATGGATTGGACGAGAAGCGCTCACTCAGTGACAAGAGCACGCTCTTTCTCAAGATTCATCATTCACTGGTTCATCACTTGAAATTCGAAATAGGTTTATTTATTACCTCCTCTATTCGAAATTTGGTAATTGCGGGATACACTATGTGAAAAATAGTACTAAAGTGTACTAAGAGCAGGTGTATAAATTAACAAAAAGAGAGAAAAAGGAAGGAGCAGCTGGACATCCTGATGCGGTGAACTCCGAGACCTACCTTTCAGCAAGGGACCATATCAACAAACTGAAACTCCAACTTATAAGGAACCATAGAGATAGTTTCCATCATTCTTGGTACCAAATAGAAAACCCTAAAAAAACAGACCCTCCAACTAAACAGAAGGAAGTCGACACAGTTAGCCAGATGGAAATCTGGTCACCTGCGCCCTCTAGTTTATAAAGAGGGAGCCAAAAGCTTCCCCATGTGCACTAGGTGCAAAAGCGAAGAGGCCACTCCCCAACATATACTGAATTGTATTGGAAAGGACAAAGGATCCCTGTACAGAGAACCAAGAAGAGTTCTTGAACTTATTTATGAGTACGACCTCCAAGATCTTGTCTAATTTATACTAATAAAAAGATAAGTAAAAAAAAAAAGATCCCCTGATCGTGCAACTAAAATTACTGATGGCTTGCGCCATCTGTCGGAATCATTAAGAATCAAAGATTGGTTTATATTTATTCCGATAGATTATGAGATTATAATTTTAAGCGATTCATAAGTAGACAATTGACAATTAAAATAATTTTATTGACATCTTGTCAATACATGCAAAGTGCACAGTGTGCACTATTTGAAAAAGATAATTATATATATATACATGATACGTGTATACATGTATATGCATCATACTATGTACAAAGAAAATGGCGCCTCTGCCATCGCTGCAGAGTTTGGTGGAGAATCGCCAGCGCGTCTCCAGCGACACCATTCCGATAGATGGCGAAAGCCATCAGAAACACTTCAGTTTTAATATACTATATTGTGGTACCAAATTGAATAAATGACTTACCGCTAGTTTATGTTTTATTTTTGAACATATTTTTTTCGGGAGCGCTTTCGGCTATTTCCCTTTCTCAAATCACTTTATGTAAAATAAAATGGAACAGATAATTATATTTAACAAATATAGTCCCAGTAGTTATAGAATGCGAACAAACAGTAAAACTATTATGCAAGCAAATTGAGGTGAAGGTTTAGAAAATTAAAATGAGAGCGCAGTTGAGCAGGGTCCACTAGACCTAATGGACTTACCTAGAGCTTGGCGGGCTGTTGGACCGGGACCCCTGCACACATAGGACCGTTGAGTCCATCGCTGATAGGTAGAGAGAGGACTTAGACTATGGACATGTCCAAATCCATTGTTGATACACAGAGGTCTTATACTGATAACATATATAAATACATTGCTGATACACACAGAGATCTTAGACTGCACACATAAGATTGCTGAGTCCATCTCTGATAGGGAGAAAGAGGTCTTAGACTTCAGACATGTTATAATCTAACATTGGAACACAGAGGTCTTAGACTTCGTAAATACCTAAGTCAATCACTGATACACACAGAGAGGTGTTAGACTGGGAATATGTTTAAATCCATTGCTGATACACAGAAGTGTTAGACTTAAACATATCCAAATCCAACATTGATACACAGAAGTGTTAGACTTAAACATATCCAAATCCAACATTGATACACAGAAGTGTTAGACTTAAACATATCCAAATCCAACATTGATACACAGAAGTGTTAGACTTAAACATATCCAAATCCAACATTGATACACAGAAGTGTTAGACTTAAACATATCCAAATCCAACATTGATACACAGAAGTGTTAGACTTAAACATATCCAAATCCAACATTGATACACAGAAGTGTTAGACTTAAACATATCCAAATCCAACATTGATACACAGAAGTGTTATACTGAAAACATGTCTAAATACATCACTAATACATGGAGTTCTTAGACTGCAAACATTTCTAAATCCATCGCTGGTCTTACAGAGGTCTTACACTAAAAACTTATTCTATTCCTGAAAAAATAAATGAAACGCCAAAATACCTTACTTTATTCAATAGTAGAATAAAAAAAAGTATCACCTGTTTATTTTTTCTACTTTTATATATTAAAAATGTAATTAGTTATAGTTATTAACAATTATAAGAAACATGTAAAAAATCCTTATATTGTTTATCTGGATAATATTCTGGAATAATTGAAATTCAACGATGAGTTGATATTTATTCCGAAAGGTGGCACAAGCCATCAGCAACTTTCAGTGACACGATCAAGCGATTCCTTTTTCTTAATTTAACCAACAGATCGCAGTACAATTTTTCATTTTTTTTGTACAAAGTTTTTAATATAGTTATTAATAAAGTTACAATTTCATTACAAAAAATCATAAGGGTCACAGCTCTTTTTATTGGTTTGGTTAAAGAAAGCTTTCGGCGAAGACCTTTTCAAGCTAATCACAACTTGTAAAACCGACTAGCTAACACGTTTTTAGTATAAAACGACATTTTAAAACTATTCCGCATGTGTTACTTTTCAACGAAAAATCAAAATTTATTTCAAGGAGAAATAACGATTATTTCTAACCTTTGGGATGAGGTATGAAAGGGTGAATTGTGAAGAGTAATCATAAACGGAAAAATAAAAGTGTCTAGGGATGGGAATCGAATCCACACTGTTCCGCTTACCGGGCAGATGTCATGTCCACTAAGCTACCCTGAACATATTTTTCCGTTCGTAAATAATACATAAAGTAATGAATATTGCAGTAAGGGCAGTAGAAATTGTTTTTATTTTAAAAAGAATATTACGCCTCTAAAATAGTTTTGTAATTTGATAACAGATGGCGCGCTAGTGCATCGTAATATAATTGAATAAAGACACAAATCGATATTTGCGGAAGAGCGATTGCTCGAAGCATATTATATATTTATAATTATATGTAATTCTGCTGTCCTAAAAGCTTATGTCCATAGTTAATTTAAAATACCCATTCAAAGAGTCAAGCATCAGTATCACTATAAAAGGAAGTTCCAAAAATGCAATATAACAGCGGTATGGTAGACTAAACTGGCGAAACCGCTGGGAGGGTTCACCACTGATGAGCCAAGCCCTCCCTTTAATTTTTCCATTGCAGTAAGGGCAGTAGAAATTGTTTTATTTTAAAAAGAATATTACGCGTCTAAAATAGTTTTGTAATTTGATAACAGATGGCGCGCTAGTGCATCGTAATAAAGTAATTTATAATACAATATAATGCGGCTTGTTGAAATGTCGTTTTACAATCACAAGCCGCATTATATTGTATAACACGTTTTAGTTAGATGAAGAAGGGCTGGACCAAAAGCTTGCTTAAATCGAGTAAATAAAAAGAAACACACTTAGGCTAGAAAATGTTTTATTTTCACGTCGTTTCGACAAAATTCTTTTGTTATAAAATAAATAAAGCTTCCAAAGATTGAAATAGAAAATCATTAGACCAGATGGAATTTATTTGGATTCTTCTTTCTTATCGATCTTTTGGTTTTCTGGTGAATCAACGCCATTTTGGAAATTTTATGAACTTTACAAACAATGTGAAAAAATAGTACAAATGTGATATTATACTGGGATAAGGTACATAAATTAATAAAAAGGCATCTCCTTATCGTGCAACTGATGAAAGTTCCTAAGATTCTTGTACAACCTTTTTAAATACTTTTGTCCTCGTTATGATGAATAAAATAAAGTATTTGTGGGGAAAGACGTTAAAAATGATTCTCATTAGAGAATATCCTAATTAAGAACTATATATTTCGTACAGGCAAAACTCTATCTTCAAGTTAAATAGAAAGATTTGAGCATTTTATGATTATTCATATATTTATTAACGTGATACATCTGTTGAAGGAATGAAAACCCGAAAGTTTGAAAATAAAAGTTGAACAAGAAACTAGCCATGGAAGCTTTATTTATCTTTTAATATATGAGTATAATTTTATAAAATTTGAAACTATTATAGACACGTATGATTCTTTTTTAAATAAACAATTTCTACTGTTCTTACTGCAATGGAGAAATTAATGTTCACCACTGATAAGCCAGGCGCTCCCATTAATTTTTTCATTGCAGTAAGGACAGTAGAAATTGTTTAATTTTAAAAAGAATCATACACGTCTATAATAGTTTAGAATTTTGATAACAGATGGCGCGCTAAGGCATCATAATGTAAGAGTATATTTTTGTAATTTGTTGAAATCCTCAATCCTGTGTAATAATGAATACAATTACATTGTTTATAAATAAAAAAGCAAAGCCCGAAATGCGTCCGTGGTTAGCTTTTCTTGATTAATCAAGAATGGGTTTTTGGCCATTTCTGGAATAATTAAAAATCAACGAGAATAGTTGATATTTATTCCGATAGATAGCGCAAGCCATCAGCAACTTTCAGTTGCACGATAAGGAGATGCCTTTTTATTAATTTATGTACCTTATCCCAGTATAATATCACATTTGTACTATTTTTTCACATTGTTTGTAAAGTTCATAAAATTTCCAAAATGGCGTTGATTCACCAGAAAACCAAAAGATCGATAAGAAAGAAGAATCCAAATAAATTCCATCTGGTCTAATGATTTTCTATTTCAAATAAATCACCAGCGAATCTCATAGAGAGAAAGAAAATTGCAGAAAATTAAATATTGCTCTGGGGAAATTCTAATGAATTTCGGTACAAATTACATCGAAATTGGCACCCATTTCTATATAGCTCCCAATGTCTATAATATAGGTCACAAATATTATAGGCGAGGCCCCAAATATGTTGAAATATTAAATTTCCGATTTGAAATTTTGGCAGTTTCATTTCCAGAGGGCCATTTTTTATTTTGTGCCGACATTAAAATATATTGCATTTTGTTGGTTCCCTCGTCGTTGATGCATGCCATTATCTTTAAAAATGTCTTTGACAAATTAAAAAATGTTTTATTCTTAATTTGACACATTTTATTGAATAGTTTCTACGAACGCAAAAAAAAAATGAAGTTTTTATGAAAATTCTAGTGACAGGGAGGGAAAATGTATTTAGTTAAGAAATAAATATGTATGATACATTAGCGCGTCATCTGTTATGAGAATTCAAAACTATTATAGACGCGTATGATTCTTTATAAAACTCAAACAATTTTATACTGTCCTTACTGCAATGAAAAATTAATGGGAGGACCTTGCTCATCAGTGGTGAACCCTCCCAGCGGTTTCGCCAGTTTAATCTACCATGGTATTAACCAGGCCCTCTATGATTATTTTGAAATTTAAACAATTTTCTACTGCCCTTACTGCAATGAAAAATTAATGGGAGAACCTTGCTTATCAGTGATGAACCCTCCCAGCGGTTTGGCCAGTTTAATCTACCATGGTATTAGCCAGGCTCTCCCATTAATTTTTCAGTGCAGTAAGGGCAGTAGAAAATTGTTTAAATTTTTAAAGAAGCATTTGCGTCTATAATTGTTTTGAATTCACATAAATAAATATTTAATTAAAAAGGCATATATTGGATAAAAAAAAATAATTTATTTTACCAATATTTCAGCTGGCCGAACGCCAACCTTTATCAAGGTGTTATAACATTTTAAAGTGTGTCAACAACAAACTCAGCGCCACATAACGTCAACAGCATTAAGTTTTTTAAAAATATTTTGTTATATTCAATGGGGAGAAAAATTTAATAAATATATTTATATTATGAACATTTATTTCAAATACAATCACACGCTTATTTTATATATATATATATATATTATATTATTTTATATATAAATTGATAGTTCAATGTCTTCAATGTTTTATTTGTGTGATATCATTTTTAAAAAATATTTTCCCATTTTCACTTATATTTTATTTCGAATTTCACAATTTTACATTTAAATTATTTTAAAATTTTATTTCAACCAACTTTTCATACATTTTTTTACGCTTTGTGTTTTCAGTAAAAATTTTAGTGTAACATTTCTTTGATATATATTTTGTTATTTTTATTTATTTTTATACGAAAAATCTTTTTACACATAGTACAAATAATTTTAAAATATAAAATAAGCGTTATTGTTAATTTTCAAAATATTCACACCCATATTTTACAGAATTTATTTTGTTCATAATATATATTTATTAAATTTTTCTCCCCATTGAATATAACAAAATATTTTTTAAAAACTTAATGCTGTTGACGTTATGTGGCGCTGAGTTTATTGTTGACACACTTTAAAATGTTATAACACCTTGATAAAAGTTGGCGTTCGGCCAGCTGAAATATTGGTAAAATAATTTTTTTTTTTGATCCAATATATGTCTTTTTAAAGCTGGACAACACGTGAAGTAAGATGAGTTTCTTTTAATAAACGAAAACGCAAGCTTTCGGGACGTACGCCCTTCAACAGGCAATTATACACGCAAAGATACAAATCGTAGGTAGGAGCGAATATTTATATGTGCTAGTTTTTAACATATTTACAAGAATTTTGCTGTAAAATTAGCATATTAAGCTAAACCAAAGAAATGCAAAAATCTAACTATTATTTCAATTATTAAACTTAATGACGGGAACCATTGTACATATAATATTTTATGAAAAACTAAGATGTTACAGGAGTTTCAGCCAAGAGAACACCATATATATCGGGAATATCTATCTTTCTATTTATGCTATTGTGTTTGTGTGAGACTATGGATTCCAACACCAATCGTTGGTGTTGGTTGTGGATATGTCTATAGTGGATTACTGGATGGTTAACATCGAATGTATGTCCTGTAGATGCTATGTGTTGGTGGATGAGGGATTTGGGGTCTTTGTTAGTTATATTGCGGGAATGCTCTGTCATTCTGATGCCTACAGTTCTACCTGTCTCACCCACATATGTGGCAGAGCACTGCTCACATGAGACAGAGTAGACTGCTCCTGTACTTTGAAGGGGGCTGGGAGGAGTGTCTGCTTTGGTTATGGGATGTCTGAGGTGTGTGGATATGTTATTGGTGTTGCTGAAAAAGGTCTGGATGCCATGGGTTTTAAGAAGTCTGGCTATATTGACTGTGTAGGGTGAATAAGGTAAAATACAAGTGGATCTATGAGCTGTTGGGGGTTTTTGAGGACTGGGTACGAAAGTGTGTCTGTTGATGAAGGTAAGAGGGAACGCTGAGGCAGTAAGATGGGAAATTACTAATTCTTTTTCTATGGTTTTGAATATGGGGAGGGAACAATGGGTATGTATTCGTTTTGTTAAAGTTTAACTATGTTAATTTTATGGACTATGGGGCAGTATGAATTGAAGTGGGTAGAGTTGGGGGGGGGGAGTTTTTCTTGTAATAGACTGTGGTATGGAAGGAATTTGGAGTACGTATGATCAGTGTGTCTAGGAAGGGGATGACATTTTTGTGTTCTTGTTCTAAAGTGAATGAGATATCAGGGTGATAATTGTTGAGGTCTTTTAGGATGGTGCCCTCTTGGCTGATTTTACAGATGCAAAAAACGTCATCTATGTAACGCCGCCATATGGAGATGCTTGATGCATGTATTTGGTTAATCCACGCATCAATTTTGGTCATCACTATTTCAGCTGCTATGGAGGAGAGGGGACTTCCCATAGGGGAACCTTTAGTCTGTTTGAAGTGTTCACGATTATAGGTAAAAATGTTCATTTTAAGGCATATTTCTGAAAGTTTTGTCATTGTAGTAACTATTTGGGGATC